ATTGCCTGAGAACTTTGGACCTTTTGTGGTTCGAAGCAAAAATAGGACAGATGATAAGAAGGGAATCCCTTTGACTGTTTAATTAATATCTGAGGATGGTTTCTCTGTCTAGTATTCTAACCGTCAAGGGAACCTTTCTTGCCACTGATTTGTATGGCATAAATATATCAATACCTGTTTTCCTTGTATTATTTCGATGTGGGACGAAACTTTCCACGAGTTATATACCATTAGCCCATTAAACAAGGATCTGTGGGCGTGTTGCCATAAAGAACTCTTGCCCCCAGTTGGTCTTATACCTTATTGGTGCAGCTTTGGACTTAAATCGTCTGAGGTGGTATACTCTTTGGCTCAGCCTCGAACTTAAATCATCCGAAGTGGTATACTTTTTAACTAGGTGCCTGTGAGGAATTGTATTGCACTGGATTCCTGTCGTCCAAAACGATATGCTCCTTGGTCACGACCTTGGGAAGAGCTGTGCTGCGTCGGACTCTTGAGGTTCGAAGCGATATATTCCTCGACTATGACCCTGGGAGGAATTGTCGTAGGTCGGACTCTTGAGGTCTAAACGTTGTGTTCCTTGACAATCAACCTAAGAAAAATTGTATTGTGTCAGACTCTTGAGGTCTGAGGTGTAGTGTTCCATGGCTATGAGCTTGAGAGGAACTGTATTGTGTCGGACTCTTGAGGTCTGAGGTGTTGTGTTCCTTGGCTATGAGCCTAAAAGGAACTGTATTGTGTCAGACTCTTAAGGTCCGAGGTGTTGTGTTCCTCGGCTATGAGCCTGAGAGGAACTGTATTGTGTCGGACTCTTGAGGTCTGAGGTGTTGTGTTCCTCGGCTATGAGCCTGATAGGAATTGTATTGTGTCGGACTCTTGAGGTCCGAGGTGTTGTGTTCCTCGGCTATGAGCCTGAGAGGAACTGTATTGAGCTGGACTCTTGGGGTCTGGAGTGATGTGTTCCTCGGCTGTGAGCCTGATCTGGAAAACTCACCAAGTATGCAAGGCTGGCCGAAGATTCAAAAATGACCTGAGGCCAAGAAAGAGAATAAATGTAACTGAGAAGTCCCCCATGCATTTGTTTGGGAGACTTTCTTTCACAAAGACTCTCTTCGTGGCAACCAAATGTAGCGTGCTAACTCTATGTTTACTATACACCTCTTGTACTCCTATTCGATGTGGGACAAGGGATATGTGGGCCAAAAATCTGGTTTGTTTAGAAAGAACAAAAATTATTACAAAGAATGCCCATTGGTACTAGGGCTTTGAACACAACTTGGGCTGGGCCGTTACTGTTACCAATGGGCCCCTTTGCAATGCACCCAAATACTTTAATATTTCCCTATATAAAGGTACGTATAGAAATACTTTTTTCCTGACGTGGGACCACAGTAGATAAGTGCTCTAAGATACACATATTTGTGGTTTGAGTCCAAAAATGAAAGAAAAACTGTAAAGCTCCTTTAGGTTCATGATTTAAGTAATGCCTGAATGTTTAATGGGCATTCGTTGTAATGCACATGCATTCTAAAGTACGTTTCTATGAAAAATGACTTGTAAGTACCACCAAAAAGCCAAAAAATTATATAGCTTTGTTTTGTTTGTTTTATGGTAATATCTTTCTTTTGTCGTAATATCAACAGTAGGGTACACATTTTTATCGCAATATCTATAGTAAGGTACATCTATTGCCCCCTATGACGACAAAAGAAAATAGCAAGAAGTAATACCTCACATTACTAAAGGAGTAAAGATGTGTATAACTCAAGAAAATTTTATTATATGGGCCTAGAAACAGCCATACTTCGATAGAAAACAGACATATGTTGTCTGTAAATAAAAAGAAAATAAACTATATCATTTAATGATAGTACCTTTTCAAATGTATTGTATTCCATGGACGTGCTCATCAGCTTCCGCCAATCGGTAAGCTCATTTCCCTACTACTTCTGTAACTCTGTAAGGTCCGATCCAATTGGGTTGCAACTTTTTTACATGGGCTATTTCCTACTTCAGCACCCAATCTCCTTCCACAAAACACCTGAACCTGACTCGCTTGTTGTAACTGTTACGCAGCTGTTGCTGGTACGAAGCGAGCCTAATTATTGCGACATCCCTCTTTTCTTCCAAGAAATCGAGGCTGTGTTGATCATTGTTACTTTTAAGCACCAAGTGGGTCCAAAGAGTCAGAACTACTGATTCTGTGGGGATAACAGCCTCTGACGCATAGGCCATGGCAAAAGGGCTTTCTCCCGTTGGCCTTCGTGGGGTGGTTCGATATGCCCAAAGCACCTGAGGTAGATTCTCATACCATTTTAATTTGAGCTTTTCCAACTTTTTCTTTAAGCAGCTGAAAATGGTCCGGTTAGTTATTTCAACCTGCCCATTTCCCTAAGAATGGCTAACTACAGCCAACTTCTGCCTAATCCTATGCTCAGCAAATAACTTTTTTGTGCTTTGATTATCTAAATTTGGCCCATTGTCCATTATGATAACATTTGGTACCCTAAATCGGCATATTATGTTGTTCCATAGAAAACTCTTCACTTATTCATGGGTCACGCTTAAGTAAGCTTCGGCTTCAACCCATTTAGTGAAGTAATCTGTGGCTAGCAAAACGTATTCCTTTTTCTCCACAGTTTTGGGCAAAAGACCGACCATATCAATCCCCCATTGAGCGAATGGCCATGGATTCGCCATTGCGTGCAAATCTTCTGCGGGTTGATGTTTCATTGGACCATGTCGCTGGCACTTATCATATCTTCTGTCATACTCTTCAGTATTCCAAGCCAAATAAGGCCAGAAATAACCTTGAGTCAGGACCTTATGTGCCAAGGATCTACCTCCAGAGTGATTGCCACAATCTCCGTCATGAATCTGTTTCAGAATCGTGAGGGCCTCAGTGGGACTTAAACATTTTAGGTAAGGACCTGAGAATGACTTCCAATATAATTGATTATTGATGATAGCATATTTAACTGTGGTGAGCCTAAATTTCTGTGCCTCGGCCTTCTGGTTCGGAAGAGTCCCCTCCTTAAGGTAAGCTTCCAATGGATCAATCCAGTATGGTTCGCGTGGAACATCTGGGATCACTATTATCTCCTGCCGAGGGCTTATACTTGGTTCATCCAGGATGTCAATTGGTACGATGTGGACCAAATCTTTATCCGAAGAAAATGCTGCTGCAGCCAACTGATCTATTTCGAAATTCTCCTCGCAAGGTATCTGATGGAATTCGATCTGATTGAACCCTCGCGAGGCACTCTCCACAGCCTCTCTATAGGCTTTCATTCTATCCTCCTTGGGCTAATACTGGCCTGTTACCTGATTCACAATAAGTTAAGAATCACTAAAAAAATTTAGACACCTTACATGAAGCTGGCTTGCTGGCTGAAGTCCTGCGAGCAAGGACTCATATTCTGCCTTATTGTTAGTAGCAGGAAAAGTCAAACGGATTGATTGCTGCAACTTAGTGCCTTCAAGGGTTGTGATAACGACTCCGGCCCCGACACTAATCAAGTTCGAAGAACCATCCACCCGAAGCTCCCATTGTGGCTCGGATGGGCCTGGCTCTTCGGGCTTATCCTCATACTCCAAGAGGAAATCAACTAATGCTTGTCCTTTATGTGACACTTTCGGTTCATAGGATATATCAAAGGAACTGAGTTCGATTTCCCATTTAGTTATTCTTCTGGATAAATCCAGCTTAGAAAGAATGACTCACATGGGGTAGTTGGTAAGAACTTTGATACTGTGTGACTCAAAGTAGTGTCAAAGTTTTCTCTTTGCATATACCAATGCTAGTATGATATTCTCTGCTTTGCTGTATCGTATTTCTGCATCTGTCATTGTCTTGCTGGTGTAGAAGATTAGATACTGATTTTTACCTTCTTCTCTAATCAATACTGCACTCATGGCTATGCTGGAAATGGCTAAGTACATGATAAGAGTTTCACCAGGCTTCGGAGCTGACAGAATCGGGGGTTCAGCCATGTAACACTTCAATTGATTGAGAGTAGCCTGCTGTTGGGGTCCCCATATGGCTTTATTTTTGGACCTTATTGCATCAAAGAATGGTTTGCACTTATCAGACAATCGAGAGATAAATCTACAGAGAGCTGCGATTTGACCGGTCAAAACCTATACTTCCCTGCGGGTTTTTGGTTCTTGATTTTGTATAGGGGCTTGAGCCTGAGTTGGACTCACCTCAATTCCTCTTTTGTTTACAATATGGCCGAGGAATTGTCCTGAAGAAACCGCAAAGGAGCACTTCGAAGGGTTTAACTTCATATCATACTTTCTCAAAGTGTCAAAGACCTCTTGGAGGTGCTTAGGATGTTCTTCTTTCTTTACACGTTTGACCACTATGTCGTCAATATAGGCCTCGACCATCTTTCCCAACATCTCGTTGAAGATCTTGTTAACAAGGCGCTGGTAAATTACCCCAGCATTCTTGAGCCCGAAAGGCATGACTCTGTAACAGTAGGTGCCCTTCTCTGTTATAAAAGTAGTCTTCTCTTCATCCTCTGGATTCATAGGGATTTGGTTATAGCCAGAGTATGCATCAAGAAATGTGAGCCTCTCAAAACCAGTAGTGGCATCAACCATCCGATCGATTTTGGGTAATGGAAAGCTGTCTTTAGGGCAAGCTTTGTTGAGATTGGTAAAATTTATGCACATCCTCCATTTTCTATTCTTCTTCTGAACTACCACCACGTTGGAGAGCCATTGTGGGTGGTACACCACTCGGATGAAGCCTGCCTGAAACAATTTGCTTACCTCTTTAGCTATTATTCGGTTTCGCTCTGGAGCGAACCTTCTGTGCTTCTGCTTGACTGGTTTGAACGCCAAATCCATATGCAGGCTATGGCATGAGATCGAATGATTAATTCCCACCATGTTTGAATGCTCCCAAGCAAATGCATCTGCGTTCCGTCGAATGACATTAATTAATGCTTTCTTTTCTTCGGCTTTGGGGAAGAACCTATGTAGGTGACTTTCTAAGGATTGCCGAGGATTGCTTCGACAGCCTCCAAAGACTCCTTGGTAGGCTTTTCAGCTTCGGCCTCATCCTCTACTTTCAAATACCTGGGCAGAGGGTTTCGTAATTGCTATTTGGACATGCTCTCAGGAGGTGTGATCAGTTTGGACTATTTTGTTACCTTATTTGCCTCATTCTGTATCAATATGTAGCATTCTTTGGCAGCAACTTGATCTCCCCTGAGGTCAATAACCTCTTTACCTTCCGGAGACAAGCATTGCATCACTTGATGAAAGGTAGATGGAACCCCATTCATTCGATGGATCCAGCCTCTTCCCATAATGAGATTATAGGAAGGGTAGATCTCCGTTAAAACAAAGTTTTCCTTCAGTGTCCTCTTTACCGCGGTCACGAATAGGTCAATTAACCCAAGGGGGTCTACCTTTATGCTATCAAACCCCATCAAGGGGCTAGAGGTAGGCCGAATCAATGATGACGGAATCTCTAGCTGCTCAAAGACCGCCTTTGTGATGATGTTGGCCCTGCTACCCGGGTCTATCAAAACCCTCTTAATCATGCAATTCGCCACCAAGAGACCGATGACAAACGGATCCTCGTAGGGGAGTTGAACTCTAGATAGATCTCCATTGCCGAACCAAATGTTGACCCTTCCCAAAGCGATAGTGTGTACTGAGGATAACCTCCTTAGCTTATGGGCTGTTCTCAATCAAGACCTATACACCTCCTTTGACTCTTGATCATCCTCCGATCTTCTATATATTGCATGGATGACCTTCACTTGATTACCTTCGACTTTTCGAGGATTGACCTCCTGAGGCGTCACGTACTCGTTTGTTGTGAGGTAGTTTGCCAATTCACCTCTTAGTATCATGTTTTCCACTTGCAGTCTAAGGGATCTGCAATCATTAGTTATATGCCCGTAATCTTTATGGTAGGCGTAGTGCTTGGTCTTGTCCCTCTGTTCCAATGGTTGCCTTATTAGCTGAGGGGCTGCAAACTTTATTTTATTCTCCTGGAATAGCCAAGCCAAGGTTGTACGAAGAGGTGTGAACCTTTCCTCTGTCCTTTGCCTTTTCTCGGGTATTTGAATGGCAGGTGCCAAAGCGTGCTGGTTTTTTTGGCTTTTTGAGTTTGAAACCCTTTCCTGAGGCTTGTTCTCTACTGTGACGAGGGTGGCATGTTGCGCTCAGTGGACCACATTCTCCTCAAGCCGAATGTAAATCTGTGCCCTAGTATTGAGAGTCTGCATATCCGGAAAGGAATATTTGACTAGGGATGTATGGAACTTGGTTCCCTGAATCATTACAAGTTTGAACGTTTCCATTGCGGTAACAGGATAGCAATCTGCTATTTCTGAAGCCTCCATGTTACATCTGGACAAAAAATCTTGTAATGTTTTGCCTTTCTTTTACCTTATAGTGAAGAGGGTAGCAATACTTTCTTTTGCTTCTTATTACCGCAATACTGCGCCAAGAATATAGTGCATAGAATTTTGTAGTCTGGAATAGATTTGTGTGGCCTATTTTTGAACCACTCCAACGCAGCCCCTATTAGACTGGTAGGGAAAACTTTGTACATCCATGGGTTATTGTGATCGTCTAGAGCCATCTTTTGTGCGTAGTGATCTAGGTACTGAGAAGGATCTCTCGTACCATCAAACTGAGTAAAAGAAGGCACAGTGAATTTCTTAGGTCTGTCAACAAGGTATACATCGTTAGTGAATGGAGTCTTCACGAGAGAATTCTTATGTTCCCTGGCCATCTCTGCAGGCGTTTGAACTCTCAGGAGTCTCTTCTCGTCAAAGGCCTCATTTACTCTTGCACCATCTGGAACACCATTAGACCATACCGTATGCTTACGGCTGGACTCGACCTGTTCGTCCTGTGTGCGACGAGGAAGATTGTTCGAAGCTATCGCCTCGAACCTTATCCTCTGCTCTTGCTGACCTTCGCTGGGCCGAACTTCATTAAGCCGAACCCCATTGACTTGAGGCTCGTTTTGGTCGGGAGGAGGCGCAGCCCCGTCAACTGGTGGTGACTGAGGTGTCAACTGAGCCATAGCCGTTTGAAGGGTGTCGTTTTGCTGTTGAAGCAATGCAATCTGGGCTACGCTGGCTTCATTCGCCTGACAAAGTGCTTCGAATTGGTGCAAGAACTCTTCTCGCATCTTTCGCATCAACTCTATCTATTAATCAGTCGCCGTTGATTCTCCGTTTGACATTCCCGATCGTGGAAACAAAAACAATTTAAAACAAAAGTGGGAGTATCTTTCTATACACTTCCCACAGACGGTGCCAAAGTGTAGGTGCAAAATTTCTCTCTATTTAAATAAATAAAAAGAAAAATACAACTCACTCAGAACAAGCAAAAATAATACCCAAAATAAGTGTATAATGATCGATCATTTTATTGGAGGTTTAGGCCTCTATTTATAAAAAACAAGGTGTTGGAATTATGGTAGGACTCGCATGGCTTGTCCTCCAATCCATTCCATGTATGACATTCTTTATAATTATAATCTTTTCCTTTTTACAATTCTTTCCATGCAGAAGTTTCCTTGCACAGAACTTGCCTTCTTTGTTGATTCCTTTGTCTAGCAGGACTGGTCTACTTTTAATTAGGATTGGACTGAATATGGGTTGATCCAAACGATTCGGCTAATGGGCTTGAAGTTCACCCTTGGTGCCCCGGGCTGTTGACGTCTAGGCTTGGTAGGTGGGCCGGATGGCCTGGGTCAGCGATTTATATGGAAGCCAAGACTTTGTCTGAGCTTGTTCTAGACTGGGTTCTCCCAATTTGGGCTTGACACCGATTGGGCCCTTGTTGTACCTAAGATAATTTTGTAGTGTGATGACGTGGATGATTCTTATTGGAGGGGGGATTTTTTCCCTCCACAGCAGGCCTATAGCATGTTGTAACACTATCTATAAAGTTATATCCAAACTCATTGCTAAGAAGATCCGATCTGTGTAACCTTTCATTGTGGGACCAAACTGCTTTCATAAAGCAAAGAAGAATTGGTGATGGGATTTTTATTGTCTAAGAGCTGCTGAAAGGATATCATCCTAGTGTTGTAAGTGTTATCTGAAGATTGACCTCCACAACGCCTATGACTCTATTAACTGGAACTTCATTATTGATTGTCTCTCAATCCTGCAATTCCCCAGAGTTTTTGTTTAATGGGTTTCGACATGCATCTCATCTCCATCTTTCTCAATCTCTATTAATGGGGAGTTTGCTGGCTACTTCAAAGGTACTAAAGGATTAAGACAAGGTGATCCCATTTCATCTTTTCTTTTTGTGATTGTAATGGATGTGTTGGACTCATCATCAATAAGTTTGTTGCTGAGGATGGCCACTTCAAGTACCCTTGGAGATGTAAGGCAATTAAAATCACTCATCTCTGTTTTGCTGATGATCTTCTTATGTTCTATCATGGTGACCCACATTCTCTGTCCAGTTCTTATTAAGGGTCTTCATAAGTTCTCATCCTTATCGGGTTTGAAGCCTAACCTCACCAAGAGCCAAATCTTTACTGCTAATATCCCTGATGTTATCCCAGACAGCATGGTTGCTTAAACTGGGTTTGAGGTTGGCCACCTGCCTCTTAGGTACTTGGGATTACCTATGAGTAATACTAGGCTACAAGTTAATAACTGTAGAGTTCTTGTTAAGAGGATCATCTCTAGGATCACCAACTGGACCTCAAAGTTTCTTTCTCATGCCGAGAGACTACAACTTGTCAAATCCATTCTCATCAATATACATTCGTACTGAAGCAGACATTTTATCCTTCCTCTCTAAGTGCTGAGCCAAATTAATTGTGTCCTAAGGAAATTTCTGTGGACAGGGAAAGAATTGAAAGCCACTGGTGCTAAAGTCAACTAGTTGGCTGTCTGCAACCCTAAAGAATATGGAGGGTTTGGGCTCCCAAATTTAACTGTTCTTACAGGATATCCATCCTAAGATAGGGAAATTAACTGTGTCCTAAGGAAATTTCTGTGGACAAGGAAAGAATTGAAAGCCATTGGTGCTAAAGTCAACTAGTTAGCTGTCTGTAACCCTAAAGAATATAGAGGGCTTGGGCTCCCAAATTTAACTGCTCTTAATAGGATATCCATCCTAAGACACATCTGGAACCTCTTCAGTGACAGTGCGCAGTCCATTTGGTATGATTGGGCACACTCAGTTTTGAACAAACAGAAAAGCTTCTGGACTCTCAAGCCAAATCAACTTAGCTCGTGGAATTGGAGAATGCTTCTCAAGTTGAGAGTCCTTGTTGGATCTTTCCTCAAACACCAAGTAGGCAATGGGAAGGATATTTCGTTTTGGCACAATTACTGGTTACCTTCTGGCCCCTTACATGAGAGAATCGACCCTATTCTCATACAAAACTCCCCATGAACAAAACTCCCCATGAAATAGTCATGCAAAGCTTGAATGCCTTTTAAGGCGTGGTCAGTAGAGGTTCCCTCCCCAATTTAGAAGCTTATTTCCCTCCATTGGTATTACTGAACAACCTCCTATTATTACCAACAATAATGATACTCCGGTGTGGACTCTGTCCATTACAGAGAAATTCAACTTGAAGCATACGTATGATGCTCTCTTTCCATCTGCTCCTCTCTGTAGATGGAAACGCATTATCTGGTACATAAATCATATTCCTAGTCATGCCTTTGTTACATGGCTTGCAATACAAAATAGACTTCGGACTAAGGATAGTCTTTTCAACTTACAATCAGGTGATTCACGGAGATGCAATCTATGCTCCAATGAGAACGAGACCTACGATCATATCTTCTTCAGATATATGTACTCTGTACAGATTTGGGAACACATCCAACACAGATGTGGATTTTACTATGGGGATTCGAGCTATCTTGTGATAGCTAACCACATTTTGACTCTGTGGAATGCATAGAAATAATCTATTACTGCTCTACAGATTAAACTGTGCTTTGCTGCTTGTATCTACTATATCTGGAGAGAAAGGAACAATCGCATCTATTCCTCCAATAGAATTTCTGCAGATGCGACTTGGAAGCTTGTGGAAGACTGTGTACGGCAGCGATTGTTATCGTGCAAGCTAGTTTGATAATTCCAGAATCTCAAGATCAATTGTTGCTGATTAGAGATTGCCAAGCTCTGTTATGACGTCTTCATCCCAAACAAGTTAGCTTATTTTCTGCCCTCTGATCCTTGATTGGAACTGCAGTTGTTGAATAGGCGTGTGTTTTGGGTCTCCATGCTTGGGCCTGTTGGTGGGCTAGCCCACCTTTTGTTTTTCTTTTTGTTTTTGTATATGTCTTTTTGTTTTATAAAATTGGTTAATTTACTGGAAAAAAAAAATGTAGTAATTCCAATTCATGTGAGATTGTTATGTTATATAAGATAATAGAGTGATTTCAATTCATCTCTTTAACAAGTTGTTTATTGAGATATTGGAGAAAATTACATAATAATGCGAGTTTTTGAATTAGTGATAAACTCATTACTACGAAATTTGTCACTACTATGAAATTTCTAAAAAGAAGAGTAGATGAAGATAGACAGAGTGAAAATAGAAGCGAACCAAAATCAACACACACTTATTTGTTTAAAATTAAAAAGTAAATTATAATTATTTTGGAAAAAAAATGTAGGAGTTATGGGTTACAAAATTTTCACCTTTTTTTTCTTTTTCTTTTTCTTTTTTTTACATATTTTAAATTCAAAAGCAACCCTTGTCATTCTATCATAATGTCACCTTAGAGATATTGGGGAGATCACTTGCAAGAGGTTCATAAGTAAAATATATATACTCAAAATTATGTTAATATATGCAGGATGGATTTACCTTCTTTTTTTTTTTTTTTTTTTTTTCTATTATACACTTGAAATTTTTATTAAAATTCTAAAACTACCCCACTAATTTTTTTATAATATATTTATTAGCCCCTGCTAAAGTTTTAAATTATAGAAAAGAGTAATAAACTCTCTCTCCCTTTATATTGTTATAGTTTACAAAGAAAATAAAATATATCTATTTAAAAAAATAAAAGTGACCATTGTTAAGGATTGTATGCCCTCTAAAGCTATTATTGACATTAAATAAAATGTGATTTATTTATCTTCATATAATATTGATGAATTATTGTATTGAGTAGTTCAAAAAGTTTTGGATCTAATTGTATGCCCTACAAAGCCACACCTCTCACTGCTTGTCAATTTCTTACTCGGAGATAAGAGTGAAGATCCGGAGGTAGGTATCATAGTTCGTTAAAAATCAAGAATTGTGGACAATTATTGGTGGCAGAAAATTATTCAATTGTATAATAAGTGATCTAACCCTCTACAATAATTGAGGATTAATAATGATTCCTTA